AATGCGTTCCAGGCGGTCGTATCCACGTACCACATGACGATCAAGTGTCCTGTGGGTGAAAACGTAGGGGAGATTGCCGGGGATCAACTCACTTCGAGGAGCTACTATCAAACAACGGTGAGCAATAACAAGCAACTGGCGAAGAGGCAGGCCAAGTCGAAGGAGGAGGAGGTTAATCGACTAGGTGGGTCGAGGTCAAAAGAGGATAAACAGAGAATGGAGAGGGGAAAGGAGAAAATGGATATCCAACAAGGAGGAGAAGTTGAGGAGATTCAGATGATCGAGGGGTGTGAGGAGAGGAAATTCAGAATCGGGAAGGACCTGGAGGAGCCTATTCGGTCAAGGCTGATCGATCTGGTTAGGGAGTTCGCTGACATTTTTTCCTATACAGCGGAGGAGTTGATGGGGATAAGTGCAAAGGTGATCGAACATCGGCTGAACATCGACCTCAATGTGAGGCTGGTGAAGCAGAAAAGAAGGCACCATGGGGCGGAGATGGACAAAATCATTGAGAAGGAGGTCGAGAAGCTATTGGGAGTAGCGCATATCAAGGAGATCCAGTTCCCCGAATGGTTGTCGAATACAGTGATGGTGTCGAAGGCGGAGGGAAAATGGAGGATGTGCATTGATTTCCGTGATCTGAACAAAGCATGCCCAAAGGACTTATACACACTGCCCAGAATCGACCAGCTGGTCGACTCAACGGTGGGGTGCGAACTGTTGAGCCTGATGGATGCCTCCCAGGGATATCATCAAATTCCCTTGGCGAGAGAAGACAGGAAGCGGGTGAGTTTTGTAACGAGTCGAGGAACCTATTGTTACGTGGTCATGCCGTTCGGCCTACAGAATGCAGGCGCCACGTATCAAAGGTTGGTCGATAAAATTTTTAAGGAGCAACTGGGGAGGAACATGGAAGTGTATGTGGATGATATGTTGGTGAAAGAGCAAGGAAGAGTTGGATCATGTGCGAGACTTGAAAGAAACGTTCTCAACATTGTGGAGGTATAGGATGAAACTGAATCCATCTAAGTGCTCTTTCGGGGTGAGGTCGGGAAAATTCTTGGGTTACTTGGTGACCAAGAGAGGTATTGAAGTGAATTCCGAGATGGTTTGAGCCGTAATGGAGATGAAGCCGCCGACGAATGTTAAGGAAGTGCAGATCTTAGCTGGTCGAATTGCTGGGCTGAGGAAGTGCAGATGTTAAGGAAGTGCAGATCTTAGCTGAAAAAGAGCTCGAAATTTCAGTGGACGGAGGAAGCGCAAAAGGCGTTTGAAGAATTGAGAGGGGTGCTAGCTAACCTTCCCCTGTTGGCTAAACTCGTACAAGGCGAAGAATTGGTGCTGTATATTTCCATCGGAGAGAGGGCTGTGAGTTCGGTGTTGCTG